AATAGCTTGCAGGGCTGCGAGCGAGCGTGCAGCGCTGCAGGCGCTGATTACACTGGCGCTTTACAGCGCTACACTCGGGGGGGGGGGTGTTTTTCACACCCCTGAGCGCAGCAAGTGCAGCGCTGTGAATTGCCAGTGTAGCCAAGGCCATAGTATCTGCAGTGAACTACAGAATATACATAACAAAATAATACTGTTTTGGCCTATCTACAGAAAACTCAGCCAGCACTTCAAATGCAGAATGCTCACTACAATCATTGTAGCCCAGCGTGTATATCAACTCTTGATGGGCTTGAGAAGCTAAACAATCATGTTTAGCAACATCAGCTTTCACAGCTGTTTAGGAGGAAAAGAAATGTTAACAGAGCAAAGGAACTAAAATGGTTTAGTATTCTTGCTCTCACCACAGATCTACAGAACTACAAGAACCTTGTGGTTAGTTAGATGCCACAAGTGAAATAACAAATGATACAAAGCCAATCAATCTTAAAACAAAAAATAGATTCATTCCATATTAAGAAGCATCTCACCTTCCCACCACTGATCCCAGTTTTAACAAAAGAGCTAGGCAACACAAATAGCATGGCGTACATATTCCATCAGAATTGAATTGCCTCCTAATCAAATCCAGAAGTTTGTTTGGTGTTTTGTTTTTTAATTACTAGACTAAAATGCAGTAAACAATTGTGTCCAATATTCACCTTTTTGTCAACTTCACTATCTGAATCACTGGCAGATGAGCTTGAAGACACAAGTTCCTTTGATTTAGGCATTCTGGGGAGAAGAAAGATATTGTGAAAATACCATACTGGAACCACTGCCCTTTATGACTGGAATGCACACCCCAAACCCCTTTGCTAAGCCTCTTCTCTCATCTTATTCAAATATCTCCTATTTGAAGTCAACAGGAAGTGGCAGGAAACTTCAATGTATGTCTATCTCATTATCACCCTAGTCCTTCATCTCCCTTTCCTTTGATCCATTCCCTTCATTTGTGTACTGTCTTACTTATTTTGAAACTTCTTCGGGACAAGGACTCAGGGCAGGTCTACACTTAAACCGCTGCATCAGCAGCAGCTGCACCACTGCAGCGCTTCATTGAAAACACTACTACACTGAAGGGAGAGCTTCTCCTGTCAGTGTAGTTAATCCACTTCTGCAAGAGGCAGTAGCTATGTCAATGGAAGAAGCCCTCCCATTGACACAGCGCTGTCTACACCAGGGATTAGTTCGGTATAACTACATTGCTGTGGGGTGTGGATTGTTCAGACCCTTGAGGGACGTAGTTATACTGATGTACGTTTATAGCGTAGACCTGGCCTCCGTTTTTACTTGATTTGTAATACACTTAACACATTTTGGAGTGCACAAAATAGTAATAAACTGCTCAGTCTAAGGGGGGGGTGTCGATTTAAGATACGCAAATTCAGCTACGCTGTATTCGGCATATCCTATTCGACTTTCCCTACTGTGAGGACGGCGGCAAATCGACCGCCGCGGCTCTGCCGTCGACAGCACTTACTCCTCCTGACGAGGTGGGAGTAAGCGCGTCGATTTGGGGATCGATTTATCCGTCTAGATGAGACTTGATAAATCGACCCCCAAGAGATCGATTTCTACCCGCCGATCTGGGCGGCTAGTGTAGACTAGCCCTGAGTTACTAGGTATTTAATTTATTAACAAAACAAACTGAAGTTTTCAATTAATGTCACAAAACATATGGGTACAGCATTATCTAGCAAATGACTCCCTTCACTCTTATGTATTGTTATTTTGTCTACTTTGATTTCCAGGTCACAGAATGACAAGTACTGGTAAACAGATACAGAACCATCATTATAAACTTTTCTACCTATGTTTCAAGAAATTAAAAGAAAATATGGTGTTGCGGTTAAACCACATTTAGGTGAGAATATCTAAAATTGTATTCTCAGTTCTGCCACATATTGTCTAGGTGATCTCAGGCAAACCACTTACGGCCCAAATTTCATTAGTTAGGCATGCATGGAAATCCGTATCTTTTTGAAGGCATACTGCCAGATGCGTATACTCTGCAAACCTATCGATATAGTATGTGAACATCTAGTATTCCATGTAAAGAAGAGGCACAGGAAGGATTCTAATTAATTGCTTTTAATACCTTCCCAGCTTTTGAAAGAACAAAGCAGAAAAGTATGTTATAAAGGGGAATAGTTTGTAAGGAAGGAACTATAGTGGGAGATTGGGGAGTATGTGGACTACTGGTTTATGTCAAGTAAGGGGAGGATGACTATCAGGGCAATAACATAGTACAAGGTAGTGTTTTAGGATGAAGGCACAATAATATACGGCATGGATAGCCAAACTGGCTCATGAGCAGCATGGGGCTCTTTTACAGTTAAAAAGTGTGGCTCATGGAGCCCCCCACTCGCCACCTACCAGACTTGGTGGGGGGCGAGGAGGCTCAGGACCTCTGCCTTACAGCAGGGTGGTGGGGTAGGGGCTTCTATCCAATGGGGAGGGGACCTCAGGGCTTCAACCCCATGCGGCAGGCCTGTCCTGGCTTTCGAACTTCTAAAGGTTGTCTTCTGTGGCTCAGGGGGTCAATAAGTTTGGCCACCCCGACATATGGAATGAATACATGTGGGGAAAGAACAGTGTCAGGTGAAAAAGCAGCCAACATGAGGGGAAATGGAACACAGGTGAGGAGGAGAAGGGAGAATAGGAAATTGGAATGTGATGGGGGTTACAAAAGGGATGAGAGGGGAAAAAAAAACGGTCTGCCATGTTATAGGGTTGGAAATGTGTTGAAGAGGGGCAGGATCCACTACGTGGGTGGGGAACAGGATGAAAGAAGGTAGGCCAGTGAGTCTGATACAGTGTGCAGGCAACAGTACAGAATTTTTTTAATTGGGGGGTGGGGGGAAATAGCAAAAGGTGCATGAAGGGAAGGAGGAGGAATGGGCACCAAGAATGAGAATGGGGTGAAGGGGATAGAGAACCAATTGGGAATAATATAGGGGATGGGTTCAGATTAGGGAGAGACCATATGGAGTAACAGGGCAATGGGGATCGAATGGGTCACTCAGAGGCAAGGTTATCTAGTATATAGGGATAGAATGCAGGTCACGAGGTGGGAGTGGATGTGGGGCACCCAGAGGAAAATGGCGTGGAGGGGAGTCACTGAAAGGGGAATGGAGGGAGAGGAGACTGGACAGGTCACTGAGTAGAGAATGGGGGACAGCCTACAAACACAGCAGAGAAAGGGGGGAGACGGTAATCAGCCGCCATTTTCTCCCTCGTTCAGACGCTCCCCTCCCCCCAATGACTAGAGAATGGGGCAAAGACGGGAGGGGTTAAGCAAGGGAGACGCGACACCGAATCACTGAGGGCGGACGGGGTGAGGGACGGGGGCGGCTCGCGGCGTGGGGGGCGGCCGTCATGTCATGGAGTGGAGAACGGGAGTGGGTCGCGCAGTGGGGGATGGGGGTAGGCGGTTCCCCGCCGCCATTTTCTCCCTCGTTCGGATGAGCTTTCTTTGCCCCCCAAACATGGCAGCGTCTCCTGACGCAGCGCTCCTCCCGCCCCCCCCGGGTGACCGGGGGAAGGTCTTCCTACCCCACGGCACTGGGCAGAGCAGGAGCTCGGCGGGAATCCCGCGGGCCGAGCCTTCCCCAGCGTTCGAGACGCGGCGGCTCATCCTCCCGCCTGGTCCGAGCGCGGAGCTGCCAGACCACCCCTCCCCCGGCACGACAGGCCCTGAGCTGGGGAGGAGGGGGATAGAAGATGGCGGCGGGTGCAGGCGCGCGCCCCCCCGGGGGGGGGGAGGGGGCGCGAGAGCGATGCGATACTCACGTCCCGCTCACTCTCGTGCTGCTCTCTTCTCCGAAGCACACCACCACTAAGAGAAGCGGAAATGTCGCAACCGGCAAGCCCCACCCGCCTGCCTGCGTCATTGCGTCACGTAGGGTACTCGGGAGGCGGGGGTGTTTAAAGAGGAAGGAAGCGTCTCTTTATTCTAAGCCACGAGGCGGCATGGGCGGCCCTGTGCTGCCCTCCCCGGCCCAGAAGGGACCAAGCCCAGAGAACGGGCAGGAAGCTGAACCCTATTCACCCCCTTCAGCTGGGGGGGAGCGTAAAAGCCCCTTTGTGCAGGGCCTGTCTTGGTTTCCCCTGCACCCTAAATTGAAGGGAGACTGGACACATCAAGAGCAGGGACTCTGGGCCCAGACTCCCCTTGCACAGCAGGTGTATCTCAGCCCCCTTAGTAGCTGGGGGACTACTAACACTATGCCACCCTGCTGATAATCTCAGCACATTGGGGGAGTAAACTAGTTTCACAGCCTTCAGCAGTGGCCTTTCCAACCTGTGTCATGGCTATCACAGAGCAGTAGCTTGCAGCTGCATGGGGCCGTATCACTTACCCTTGAGATTTTGTCCTTGTCTAAGAAGTCTCTAGGTTGTAGAGTTGAAAATAGACCCTTCCAAATGTGAACAGATGCAGTGCTATCCTACAAGTCAACAACTAAACATGCAGTATCTCTAGAATATTCTCTCATTCATCCTAATGGGTGTTAATTCTGAATGCTAGTGACAATTTAAGTGCTAGTTTAGTGATGAAGTAGAGCTGTGCTGAGTTTCAGGGGAACATGTATCATCAGTGGCAGAGTTGTACCAACTGCCCTACTGATAGAAGACAATGTTCCAAGGCTGTCACCTTCCACAAGCACTAAATTCACATTATTACTATTTCACACTATTACTTTATGAAGCTTCGGCAACAGTCTTGGGTAGAGTGATCAGATAGCAAGCGTGAAAAAATTGGGAGGGGGTGGGGGAATAATAGGTGCTTATATAAGTAAAAGCCCAAAAAATCAGGACTGTCCCTATAAAATCAGGACATCTGGTCACCCTAGTCCTGAATGGCAGGGCTCAGGGCCCAGGCTTCAACCCCATGTGGCAGGGCTTTGGCTTTCTGCCCTGGGCCACAGCAAGTCTTATTGCTGGCCCTGCTGGGCAGCCCTCCTGAAACCTGCTCACACACACCTAGAGGCCCTCAGACCCCTGGTTGAGAACCACTAACTTAGAACCTCCTCTGTACAAGAATATAGCATGCACACCATTATGGGTATGTCTACATTGCAGCTGGGAGCAAGGTGTTCCAGCCTAAGCAGACAGACTCATGTGAGCGCCACTCAAGCTAGTACACTAAAAATAGCAGCATGGTGTGGTTATTGCAGTTCAGGCTCTCAAGGGTCTGAGTCTCCTCAGCAGTGGTAACGTCCACACTACTATTTTTAGCGTGCTAGCTCATGCCAAGCTCGTGTGAGCAGGCTTACCCAGCTGGGCCTGGGATGTTCGCTGCCAGCTGTAGTGTAGACGTACTCCCTGCTAATAGATGGTAACCATGCAAATGAGATGATGTAACGCTAGTACAGTAGTGACATTGTTATGTATTTGTTAAATGTCAGAGAATGCTCAGTATGAAGAAGGCATTTTCCAGAAACCTGAAGAATCTCATTCTGAATTCTTCCATTGACCTACCTCCCAAGTGTTTAGTACATGTTGCACATAAGGGTCTTTGACACTGCTGGACAATCCACTTCATTTGGTGTCCCATGCCTGCCATACAAGATACTGTACCTGAAAGAGCTAGTTCTCTTCTCTTAACTCTAGTGAAGGAGTTTAATTCCTTGCTGCAAGACTCTGTGGGGAATACATGCACCTTATCATTTGGTCATTTGTATTAGCTAGAAGATTCCATATCTTCATTGATAGCTGGGGCCAGATTAAGGTGTAGGCACTAGAGGCCCATGCCTAGAGCCCTAGGAGTCATATTACAACATAAGAATCTGTTTTGAATCAAAAAAAAATTTTAAGAAAAGTTTCTAACCCTTCTAGTTGGAAAGAATAGGTTGAAAAGATGACCTGAGTGTATCCAGTGCACTGACGTCTGAATAGGTCTTCAGAGTCTAGAGCCTAAGACAACAGCTCTAAGATGGATGTACTACCCCATTTATCTCAATGAGGTATTAACAACAAGAATCACTGCTTTGGAGTGCCATGCCAACACCAGTCCAGCAGAGAACTCTGGGTAGCAGGAGAACAAGAATGCAGCACCCATCCAAGCAGATGCACTCCTGCTGCTGAGATAAACAAAGCTCCTGGCAACTCTTCCAGGGAGACAAAGGGCCCCAGTGTCCCTGCCTTTCTGTGAGGGGAGAAGGGGGCTACCATTTTCAAGTGGTGCTTTAAAAGGGCCAATTTCACAAAGCTGAAAACAATTGAGCTAAATCAGTTCAGAGGAAGAATTTTATCAGAAAAATATGTATGATAATTGGGAATTGTTTAAGAACATTATACTAGATGCCCAAAAAGACACAACCAAGGGAAAAGGCTGCATTGGGTTTTTTTTAGAAAGTTGGTTTAGAGAGGAAGTGAAGGCAGATATAGAAAATAAATAAATAAATGTATAAATAAATAAATTAAATAAATAGGAAGAAGTGGGAAGTTGATAGTCATTAATTTAAATCAGAAGCTAGAAATTCTAGAAAATTGATAAGGGAAACAAAGAGACATAACGAAATCTATGGCCAGCAGAGTTAAACACAATAGGAAGGAGTTTAAGCATATTAGGAACTAAAATAATTCTAACTGTTATTGGTCCATTAATAGAGGGAAATAATAGAATTATCAATAATAATGCAGAAGAGCTTGTTACATATTTCTGTTATTTATTTGGGGGAAGAAACATCAGATGATGAGTACATCACCTACACTCTTTCCATTCCACCCTCTCAGGCTGGGTCTACACTACCCGCCTGAATCGGCGGGTAGAAATCGACCCCTCGAGGATCGATTTATCGCGTCCCATCGGGACGTGACAATCGATCCCCAAATTGACGCTCTTACTCCACCAGCAGAGGTGGGAGTAAGCGCCGTCGATGGGAAGCCGCGGAGGTCGATTTTGCCACCGTCCTCACAGCGGGGTAAGTCGGCTGCGATACGTCGAATTCAGCTACGCTATTCACGTAGCTGAATTTGCGTATCTTAAATTGACTCCCCCCTGTAGTGTAGATGTAGCCCTAGAAGGATGTTAAACAGCAGCTACTAAAAGTAGTCACTCTTAAGTCAGGAGATCCAAATAGCCAGCCCTTTTAAAGTCTTGGATTAAAGTTAAAGGGCTAACTGGACCATTAATGTTTATTTTCAATAAGTCTTGGAACACCAGGAAAATTCCAGAAGATTGGAAGAAAGCTAATGTTGCACCAGTATTTAAAAAGAGTAAATGGGATGACCCAGATAATTATAAGCCTGTCAGTCTGACATGGATTGCAGGCAAGAAAATGGAACAGCTGATTCAGGACTCAGTTATTAAATAATTAAAGGGGAAGGAATACAATTCTATAAACCCATGTTGATGGGCATTAAAGTAGAGCCTGTCAAACTAAATTGATATATTTTTAGGAGATTCTAAGTTTAATTGATTAAGGTAGTAGTGTTGATGTAATACCTGAACTTCTGTAAGGCTTTTGACTTGGTACATGACATTTTGATTAAAAAAATTAGAAAGACATAAAATTAACATGGAATGCATCAAATTAATTAAAAGCTGTAAACAGGGAATGGGTACCTGGAGTCCTGCAGGGTTGGCCCTATGCGATTTAACGTTTTTTATTAATGACCTGGAAGTAAATATAAAAGTCATCTCTGATCAAGTTTGCTGATGACACAAAAAGTGGACCACTTGGAAACCTGGGCTCAAGCAAACAGTATGCATTTTGATATGACTAAACATATATATCTAGGCACCAAGAATGTAGGCCATATTTATTGCTTCCCAGGATAGTCCTGCATTGTGAGAGTCTGAAAAAGACTGAGGGTTTTGGTGGATAATCATCTGAACATGAGCTCCCACTGCAGTGCTGTGGCCAAAAGGGCAAGTGCAATCCTTGGTGCATAAACAAAAGTATCTTGAGTAGGGGGAGAGGGAGAGAGACTGTTTTACCTCTGTATTTGGTAGTAGGGCAACCATTGCTGAAATACTGTGTCCAGTTCTGGCATCCTCACTTCAAGAAGGTTGTTGGTACATTGGAGAGGGTTCAGAGAAGAGCCATGAGATTAAAGGATTAGAAAATATGTCTTATAGTGACAGATTTAAGGAGCTCAATTTAGTTTAACAAAAAGAAGGTTAAGGAGTGAGTTGATTACAGTCTATAAATACCTATGAAGGGAACAAATATTGAACAATGGTCTTGTAACTGGGTTCCCCCCAGGATGCCACTTGGAACTGGGGTACCACTGAGCCCTCTGACCCAACAGCCTAGGCTCCCTCTCTCACTGAGCTGCTGTGACAAGTTGCAGACCCACTCCCTGTCCTAAACGTCCACCAGCATTCATACAGCTAGGGACACACCTAGCTGCAGTTACCTGCAGGCTCTCTGACCAGCCCCTGCATGACCCAATAATAGAGAGGCTACAGCCAATGTAACCACCAGCTTCCCACCCTATGGCCCAGAGCTGTACCGTCCTGCCCTGGTCCAAACCACAACTACTATGAATTTATTATCCAGGTCGCCTCCCCCTCAATGTGGAAAGGAATATGCAACAGTCTTCGTCCCTTGACCTATGATTTTCCACGCACTTCATTCCAACTCGTTGGTCTAGATTAAAACAAAAAACAAGTTTATCAATTACAAAAAGATAGCTCTTAAGTGATAGCAAACAGATCAAAGCAGATTACCTAGTAAATAAACAAAAATGCAAACGAAGTCTAAGATACTAGACAGATAGGATATTAATTAACAAATTCTCACCCTGGCTGATGATACAAGCAGGCTGCAGATTCTTAAGGGACAAGCTGCACTTGCTTTACAGCTTGGAATACCCGGTCTTTCATACACAGGCTAGAAATCCTTTTAGCCTGGATCCAGCACTTCCCCCAGTTCAGTCTTTCCTGGAAACACCTGAAGAACAATCTTCTTGTGTGGG